AAAATTGGCATTCCTGAAAAAGGCATCAACTTCATTACAGAGCTACATACTTCTCGCTTAGCAAAAATTATTACATCCCATAGCCTTACTGCTCCTGTTAATATCAATTCTGGTATTGAACAAGAAGAAACCTACTCTCCTTTACTTTGGAAAATTTATTATAATCCTATTCTTACTTTTATTTCACAAAAATATTAAAATTAACTTTTAAAAATCTCAACACAATCACTACTTGATATTATTTCAAACTCTCCCTTATCCTCTTTAACAATTCCACCATTAGTATATATGGATGATACCATATGGCATTGTGAAAAATTAGAAACTGCTTTAAAAACAATAACAGCCCAAAAATATTTTTCTTAAATAAAATGAAATAATATTTTCTTTTTTTTTGGTACCTTTTTTTTTTTTAATTGAAATAAACATTTAATTCATATAACTTAAATGCAACATTTTGGCTTTAACTAAAAATGAATGAAAGCGTATTTATTATTATAAATTTGACAAAACTTTCAATGAGCCTTACTTTTACGTGTTATTTTACAATAATCCTTAGCCGATTCTATTATTAGAATACTTTATAGCTATCATATAATCTCGGACCAATTGAATTGCTGAATTTGGATTGATATTCGTGTAACATCAAAAATCTGCACTTAGCGGATTTACAAATTTGTTAACATAGTTTTGATTAATTATGATATGGCGCACCCTAATGGTTTATGATATCGACGACAAATACGTGGAATAAATGCAATTTATGAAATGATCATCCTCGTGACCCGTAGTCACGTTATATTGAATTATATTGTGTATCGTTCCGGACCCAGCTTAACCACTTTTCGGATCTCACAATGCTTAAGTTATATTCATATGATATAATTAATACATTTTAAACCCCTGCTATTAAATTTTAATTCCACTAATATAATTTAACCTTCAATTTATTAATTACATACAAATTAGGCCACGAAGTCGATTTTTCATTTTGAATTACATGAAATTCTAAAGCTTTGGGAAACAAAAAAAGTAAATTTTAATAGTAAATTTCTCCACTTTTTACTATGATTTTTCACGCGGATCACGAATTAATTATTTAATGCTATAAAAAATTACACGTATTTTGTGATGATTTACAACCTTTCTACTCCGAGTTGGGTTTAGATAAGTTACACGGGAAATACGTTACAAAAAAAAAAAAAAAAAAATGTCTTTGTATAAAACGTTTTGTAATGAAACTATTAGTACGATCGAACGAACGATCGGATTAGCTGCTTAAGCATGACACTATCCTAAGAATGCTGAAGAAAAAAAAAATCCGAATAAGCTAACATTAGTATTATTTAGCTTTCGGAGTAATTTTATAGTGTTCCATCTGATTTTTTGCTGAGTTGATGAATACCAGGAACGTAATTAAACGAAGTGTAGTGTACAAATCCGCGCATCTGGTTGGATCCCTCTTATCACATAGTTTTTTCTGGTCTGTATTTGTACATTGATTTTCTTTCGAACCTTTCAAAAATTCAATTTGTAAAGGAAATCTTGTTTACGTACTAGATTACTATCAAAAACCAGTTTATTTCTCGACCATTAATGTTATTTAATAAAATCAATTTCCGCACAATAATTTATAGAATTCATTATCTCAATAAAATTAATTAGATTCTAAATTACTTTATCGTGTACTTGACGGTGTTTCAGTATGCAAATAATGGAAGTCTTTATAAATACTTAAGAAAAAAATTTTGAGAACTTACCATTTCTAGTAATAACTAGTCAACGGATATTCACGAATTTAAAAGATTCATGATTTAATTTTTTAAATGACTATTCATTTATAATGGTGAATATTCACGGATCCAGTCTCTATCGTGAAGTGATTTTCTGTGAAGTAAGCCACACAAATAAAATTTTTGCATAAACACTAGTGAAGCTAAGAAATCTTTAGCGACAAACAATTTTATTACGATAGCTAACTTGGATTTTAAGTAAAACTTTTCATCACAAAATTTTACATACTCTCTCTAATCCTCTCTGATCCTAACCAATACATTAACTCCTAAATTTTTTTTTTAAAAAAGTTTACAATTGGTAGTTATGGTCCTGTAATGGTTTTTAGTTAACTTTTTAAATGACTATGTTTATGTACTTGTCTTATCAATTAATCGTCTGGAATAATAATTTCATCAATAGGACTACTTAATACAAGACCGTCGTTATCAAATTTAAGTTCAATAGATTTATGTTTAATGCTTATATTATTTATCTGCTTTAGTTTAATTGCAATTCTAGATGAATAATTAATGTCCTTAATACGTCGACGTTTTTTAAGTCCCCGAACTTTTCTGTCAGCAGAATTAAAATGATTTTCATTCCTAGAGTGATTGTTCCATGCGGTAATTATACTCAATAGTTCGGTACTAGATGGTCGTTTTAATGGGTCAGCATCCCAACATCTGGTCATAACATCTACATAACATTTCGGGGTACCGACTGAAACTTTAGGACGCAGACCTTCAACTATTTGAACGGCCAAATGTGTATCATGTGGCCTATCATAAAATGGTGGAACTTCAGATGATATCTCAGACATTATTATTCCAAAGCTATAAATATCAGCTGCAGGAGTAAATTTACGAGTTATTAAAACTTCTGGAGCTATATATGGGAGCACACCGTAAATTTGTTCGAGAACACCAGAATCGATGGGAATAGACGATCCAAAATCAGTAATATGTGCGCTAAATACCGATACACTTAATTCATCCTGGTCGATTAGGATATTTCCTGAATGTAAATCACCATGACAATAACCTGCCTTTAAATGAATTTGATTCAGACCAAGAATAATCCCTTCTAATATCTTTAATTTTTGCCACCACCCAATAATAGTTCTGCTTACATTAAAAGAATATAAACTGCCATAATTTGCATATTTTTTTACTAATCCATATTTACCACTATATCTTGTAATCCCATAGCATCGAATAGCCTTATCACAACATACATGTAATTTAATCTAAATTTACGAAATATTAGTTTTTAAAAATTAACTTAACAAATTATAGTAATTTAAAAATTAAATTACTTCTTTTAGTATAGAACTATCTGCTGAATCAGACATCGCCACAGCCACTTTAGTATTAGAAGCCCTTTCCCATCGACCTGTTTCCTCATCCCATTCTTCACGCGCTCCGTCGCGCCATACTGCAGAATAAACCGTGGAAAATCCACCTTTTCCAATAAGCTCTATATCTTCTAATTGATCAATTTCTATCCATTCAATATAATTAGACATATTGATCGCCTTAAGTTGTGATTCCTGTATTAATTCATCTATTTGTTGATTGCCACTCGTCCAATAACCAAAATTTTCACGAAAATTTTCGGATTCACAATTATTACACCATTCGTCATCAATTAATTTGTTTCCGCAACGTTTGCAATTACCATAGTCGGGAGGAATATTTCTATTCGAATTAAATGGAACCGCAAGACTTTCATCAAAAATTAATGTCGAATTATGTTTTGTGCCTGTAATATTAATTCGTTTTATATTAATTGTAGAAATAAATTATAGAAACTTAGACTCGAGAATCTCTTACTTATAGATGATAATAATGTATTCAAACTTTCGTTTACCGGTAATTGCGATGGTGGGTTATATACTGGCTCTAAGCGCATTGTGCTTAATCGCACAACTATCTCACTAATATTTGGTCTCAAATCTGGATCTGTCTCCCAACATCTTTTATAAAGTTCCATATATTTTATAGGCGTATTTGAAATTGGAGCTTCTCGAGCACCTTGTAAAATACATGTATAAGCAGCAATTTGATCACGAAGACCATCGAATGGTGAACGACAACTGGATATCTCCCACAACAGTACTCCAATACTATAAATATCTGATCGTTTGTCTTTCCTATATCCGGGATTAGCAAAAGCTTTTGGCTCTACATACGGAAATATACCGAAAAGAGATGGTTGTGTAGTAGGTGTACTATTAAGATGTTTAGATATACCAAAATCTGCAATTTTAATTTGTCTCTGATGAATTAAAATGTTTTTGTCGTGCTAAAAAAAAAAAAAATATTAAATATGTTAAATCACAATATGATTAATTAATACAAAAATATATGCCAAAGAAGAAAACATACAAGGTCACGATGTACTATATTCTCATTATGAATGTAGGCCACTCCTTCAGATAATTGTTTTGCAAGCGAAAGCTTCTCAGTCCACTGCAAATTGACTTTTTCGTTAATTAGAAACTGTTGTAAATTACCATTATCAGCATATTCCATCACAATTAAGTAACTTTCATAATTTGGATCTATAATACATAATAAATATAAATAAAATTTTCAAACTATTAAAGAACTTTTGAATAATATTACTAACCCTTACTAATACCAAGAAAACTGATTATCCTATCACTATCGCTGAGTTATCTATGTAATTTTAGCTATAATAGAAATAATTGATAAATTTTCTTGCTTGACAAAAAATTAAATAAATTATTTTAAAATATACCTCCTTAATAAAAGCATCAAATACATCATGTTTATCGAGATAGGATTGCAAGACTCTTTTTACTGCAACTGTATTTTTAATAGATGCAAAACTTGCCGAATAAACTTCTCCGAAAGCTCCACGACCTATTAAAACGAGCTCTCCTAAGTCATCATATCGGATTTCATTAAATTCCTCACTACTAATTGCTACACTAAACCATTCTTTAAGTCCCATTATAAAATTCTTTTATATAAAGATTAATGCTAGATCCCGCAAGACATTACTCGGATTTACTGGTTTATTATTTTTTTTTTTTTTGTGTAATTTTCACATAAACGAAATGTTTCAGGGCTATAATATAATACAATTATCTATTGTGTTTATACTTGTTGGCAAAATCCCAAACTATTATAAAATTAGTTTGTCCGCGCCCAAATCCCAAACTCTGGCCAAATTC